GGACTCCCATGTAGTCTACGTGGCAGGGGACCCTCGGGGTGGAGCGCACCCCCAGGTAAGCTGTCTTGGTGATGTGGAAAGGCAGGAAGCTGATGGCAAAGACAGCCGCCACCACCACAGCCATGCGGGCTGCCTTGCCACGCCGCTCCTGGGCCACAGGCCCCGCGAGGATGTCCTGGCGGCATAGGCGGCGAGCCAGGCGACAGTAGCAGGCCAGCAGGGCAGCAAAGGGCAGCAGGAACCCAACGACCGTGAGGGCCATGCCATAAGGCATGTAGTGGGCAGCCAGGGCAGGCGGGCTCAGGTCGTAGCAGACGGTGCGGTTCCGCTGGATGCCCGTGGCGGCAAAGATGGCCGTGGGCAGACACTGGGCTGTCACAGCCAGCCACACGACTCCACACACTAGCCAGGCAGCCCGGCGACCCCCACGCTTGTGCCAGGGTGCCAGCGGGTGGCAGATGCCCAGGTAGCGCTGGAAGCTGATGCAGGTGAGGAAGAGGATGCTGCCGTGCAAGTTGGCGTAGAAGAGGAAGCGCACCAGGCGGCAGGCCAGGTCCCCGAAGGGCCAGTGGTCCCCTTGGGCATAGTTGTAGATGAGCAGGGGCAGGGAGCAGGCATACAGCAGATCGGCCAACGCCAAGTTCAAGGTGTACACGGCTGAGCGGGTCAGGGCCCGGTGGGATGTGCAGATCTGGGTGATGACGCAGACGTTCAGCGGCAGGCCGGCCGCTAGCACCACCGAATACACAGGCGGCAGCAGGAACTGCTTGAAGTTCTCGTGGTAGACGCAGGTGGTGCCGTTGTCCCGCTCCATGGCTGCCCAGCTGGCTTTCTTACATTCGGAGAGGCTGGAGACGCAATGGAAAGCTGTCAGTGGCATGCTCACTGACTGCCCAGTAGGCCTGTCCCTCTCCGGGTCTCAATTTTCCCCTCTGAACAATGAGGGCACCACTTTATCATCTCTCATAATTATCAAGCCATAGAGTTCCCACGTAGCACTCACTTTAAGGAAACTTGGAATATAATACGGCTCAAACTTGAAAATTCACTTGTCTTTTCATTGGACTTCTTGGTACACTCCTATTCATCCTTCAAAACCCTGGTCAAATGTCTCCTTCTCTGATAGTGGCGATTGATAGACTTGGGTTCTAATCTCAGCTTTTCTATTTACTAGCTACGTGACCTTAGGGTCATGATCTAGCTTCTCTGAGCCTCAGTTTCCCCAGCTGAAAAGTGGGGGAATGATGCACTCACCTCCCAGGGATATCATGAGGTTAAATGCACTAGATCGTGCTCTACGGGGCTTTCCCTAGAGTTCCTCGGTCGGGGAATTGAGGCCGTGGTGTCTCTGCCTGTCTGTCAGAGACTGGGACTCTCCTAAGGAGGAGTGCCAGATCTGGTGCCTCCCTGTTTCTTGGAGCCCGGTCCAAATTCCAGGGCAGCGAGACCCCTGATCATCTTAGCTAAGCAATATGAATGGTCTATACACCTTGAGCTCACTGAGAACAGAATTCACTTCCTTTGGAATGTTGCCTTCCAAAGCCATGTTCGGTCTTCTGGCCGCGGTCTCGTTATCTGTAAAATAGGGGGAAGAAGTGATTCAGATGTTTTCCTTGAGCCAGGCTACAGAAGTGGATCTGGTGGAGCCAATGTCAACACAGCACCACCTGGTGGCCAAAGTGAAAACAGCTTCCCTGAAGGCAATGGGTACCAGACCAAACTGCTTCATTTTATCAGCTTATTTTTTGAATAATTATTTATTTAACTTTATTTATTCATTCACTTATTTTAACTTGAACACACGCACACACACATACACACACACACACACACACAAGAGAGAGAGAGAGAGGGAAAGTGAGAAATCAAGCCACCTGGTCCAGGATTTGAACCATGGTCGGCCATGTGGGAGTACTGAGTGCCTTAACCACCATGCCACCTGCTGGTCCCAATATATCAGCTTAATTATATCGAGAGAGCAAAATCCAGGCACAGTGAGAGGCAGAGCCTGCGCAGTCTTACCTAGTGAGTTAGAAGCAGAGCCAGAACCAGAATCAGAACCAGAACCCAATCACCTGATTTAGAAGAGGAGCCTCAGCACACAGACATGGGACATGAAAGTGACAAGGCCAGCTTCAGAGCCAGACAGGCCTGGGTTCAAATGCTGGCTTCCCCCTTCCATGCCAGACGACTCCGGTCATGCCATTCACCTTTTCTGTGCCAATGTTCTCATCAGTAGACTGTGCCATGGGTCTGACATTCGGCAGTACTCAGTAAGTGCCATTGTTCTTCCTCTCATCTGTTCGTCTGGGTTTGGGGGGAGCCAGCAGGATAAATGCCTTAAGGCAGTGGTCCCCAACCTTCTTGGCACCAGGGACCAGTTTCATGGAAGATGATTTTTCCATGGACTGGGGTGGTGGGAGTGGAGGCAGGGTTCAGGATGATTCAAGAGCCTTTAATTTATTATGCGCTTTATTTTTATTATTATTCCACCGTAATAATAAGGTCTGGTACCAGTCTGTGTCCTGGAGGTTGGGGACTGCTGCCTTCAAGGGTTCCCTGAGGGGGTAGATCTGATACTTGGATACTTGCCTCGAAACTAGTATTCCACGTTGCTTTTGTCTGCAGAAAAAGCACAACTTTTAATCCCACGGGCCTGTAAGGCAAAGCCTTTGAGATTGCAACTCCAATCCTTTCCTCTCTTAATTTCCCTGACAGGAAATACTGAGGCCCAGAAAATATACGAAGTCCTGCAAACGCACTCCGAGTTGGGAAAGAGCTGAGGCTGAGTATTTCAAGTGTGGTCCAGATGCCCAGGTTGAAATCCCAGCTCTGCAGCGTGGGAATTATGTGGCCTTGGGTACATTACCTAACCTCTGTGCCTTGGTTTCCATATCTGCAAAATGGGGTAATATAGCACCTGCCCCATAAGGTTCTTGTGAGGACCAGTGTCTGGCACAGGGCCAAGTGTTCTCTGTTCTGAATACGAATACACCTGCTAAGTTAGATTATGGGGTGTCTCTCTTTTTTTAAAAAAAGTTTGCTACAGGATATAGAGAGAAAGAGAGAAAGAGAAAACACCCCCCAGGGATATGACCATGACACAATTCCTTCTCCTCCCTCTCCTTCCTTATCCTTTCGAGATTTGGGGCACACACGAACATGTGCCAGTGTCTTTCAAGACACCAGGCCCAGGACTTGACCCATCAGGTGAATCCGTTAGAAAGCCCCTCATGGTCACACTATAATCCCTTCTCCTTTGTGTTTCTATCCTGTTGGGATTTGGGGCATGTTAACCACTAGGCTATGGGATCAGCTCAAAATTTGATATTTATTTATTTATTTTGGAGTTTGCTTGTTTGTTTTTGCCTTAGGGAACATGTGCTCTCTGGAGAGAGAGAGAGAGAGACAGAGAGAGGGGGGAAAGTGAGAAATCATCCCCTTGAGTGAATGACCATAACACAATCCTTCTCCTCCATTCTCCTCCAGGGATCTTGGGCACACATGCACATGCACCTGACGTGATTTTCAAGCCACCAGGTCCAGGACTGAACTGCACTTGGCCGTGTGAGAGTCCCATGACGTAACTGCTATGCCATTTGCTGGTCCCAAAATTTGGTTTTTAAAAAGTTTACTTATTTCATGAGACAGAGAAAAAGATGACGTAACTGCTATGCCATTTGCTGGTCCCAGAATTTGGTTTTTAAAAAGTGTACTTATTTCATGAGACAAAGAAAAAGGGAAAGAAGCACCCTCAATAGTGTCTCACTCTCCAGTCCCCGTCCCGCCGCACCACACCTTGCCAAGCAGCAGGGTCACAGGTGCACACCAGGCATGTATAGCTCTACTGGGAACCACACCTGCCATCTTCCGTGTGGCTCTGGCATTGCTGAGCACCATGCTGTGGCTGTACTACCTAGCTGGCCTTAAAATCTGATTCTGATTCAAGTATCTACCCCAATTTCATGCAAACCGAGAAAGTCTGGACCCTCCCGTCTGCATCCCACACCCATATCACCTGCAGTTATCCAAGAGCCTTCCTGGACGTCAGTCCATGTGCAAGGAGTGCTGGCTGCCCAGGTAGGCACGGGGGTGGGGGCAGGGAGGAAGCACGGCGTCGCCCAGGCAGCCAGGGCAACGCAGCCAAGGGAGGTGCACTCATTCATCTCTTCCTCTGTTTGTTCAGACCATTCTTTCATTCATTCTGTTGTTGTCATGTGGCAGGCATTTACTGAGTGCCTACTGCCGGCTAAACCGGGCGGCCGCAGTGAACAGATGTAGCTGCAGATACGGAGATGGCTGCAAATGTGCTATTCTGGGGAGGCCATGCGAGCTGCGGGGCAGAAGGGACTTCTCAGGGGAGAATGAAGGAGGGAGCATGACTCTGGTGGTCAGGAGCATCTCCAGGGGTGGATGAGGGTACAAGGACACCCAGGTGGGGAGGAAGGTGGGACAGGCAGGGTCTGAGAGGAGCTCAGCCCCTGCTAGTGCAGAGGGGTAAGTCAAGCTGAAGACGTGGTAGGAGGGATCTAGGTCCCTACACCCTCTTCTGGAGGCCTGTTGCCCTCAAAGCCCAGCCCCAAAGACAGCCCTCTGCCCCACATGACTGTGGACTCCATCGCTTTCCACCCAATCCACTCCCTGGTGACAGTGACCCTCCTGGGTCTGCCACATTCCTCTTGGAAGGAGTTAGGGCCAGAGGAAGGGATCCAGGGAGCCGTCCTGCCTCAGAACAAACCTTCAGGACCACACCAGGAGAGGCAGACCCGGGTCACCCATCCTCTCTGCCCCGCTGAGCCGTTCTCCCAGTTCCTGGCAGGGGTTGCACACCACTCTCCCCCCTTCGTTCCTGCCCCTTCCGCTCAATTCACACTGTTCCCGAGATGCGAAGATGGCCCCACAGCCATCGCAGCCAGAGGTCCCGATTCCCTCTACCTGTCCCCGTCTGTCCCCTCTGCACAATGTCTTCACCCATCCCCATGTGCCAAGCCTGCGTGGCCAAGTCCAGCCTACTCTTGTTTCTCTTCTGAGCCCCCAACTGGGTGCAGTTTTCCTTTGGACCCCCAACCCTACAGGCCTCCTTTAGGTCAGTGCTGGCCCCAGCCTGCCTGCTTGTGTCCAGCCGCCCCACCATCCCGCACCGGCCCATGGCGCCCAGACACGGGGACACTCACATGTAGCCTCCTGTCCTCGCACCACTTTGGAGATCCCCAGCGTGCTGGGGCAGAGAGAAGCAGGATCGAGGCTCCTCAGCCTCTGCCCTTGGCCAGGCTACAACACCTCTGATGGGGCGGACAGCTTCCTGTGCTTCCTAGCAGGCGGACTCCGACTGAAATAGCCTCCGCCACCCCCAGCACCACCACGGCCTGACGGAAACTGGGCCTCTGAGGAGCAGGGAGGTGGAGAAAAGTCTACCTTCCTGGAACCGCCCCCACCCCAACAAAGGACAGAGGGGGATGGGGACAAAGAGAGCCAGGAGGGCCAGAGTTGCCAAAGGCCAGCCCCCCCAGCTTCCTTTCTCCTCAGTCTGCTTGCCTGTCAAATGGGCAGCCTGGCAGTTAGAGTTCCTGCTTCAGCTGTAAAGCCCTGAGGCACGCGGGTGTTTGTGCACCTCCTCAGTCATGTACTCCTCCATCCACCCTTCCCTCTTTTTCTTTTTAAAATTTATTTACTTTAGAGAGATTTTTGCTATAGGCCATGTGCACTTGTCAGAGAGAGAGAGAGAGAGAGAGAGAGAGAGAGAGAGAGAGAGAGAGAGAGATCATCCCCCCCCACAGGGCCCCCCCCCCCAGGGGGATGGCCATGCCACAATCCCTTCTCCTCCATCCTCCTCTCGGGAAGCTGGGCGGGCATGCGCACTCACTCGCCTGGTGAGTTTCAAGCTGCTGAGTCTGGGACCCAAACTGCGGTAGGCTATATGGAAGTCTAGCACCACAACCACTATGCCACTTGCTGGCCCCTCAAATTTATTTTTAAAAATTTGCCAGAGAGCATGTGTGCTTGCCAGAGAGACAGAGGAGGAGAGAGAAAGCACCCCCTAAGGGGTGTGGCCACATGGCAATCCCTTCTCCATTTCTCCATCCTATCATGATTTGGGGTACACACACACATGCCCAGCATGTTTTATGAAAAAATGTTTTTGAACTGCACCGTCAGCCACCTGGGAGCCAATTCTCTTAACCTCTAGACCACGGAACTGGCCTCCTCCTTCCTCTTCTCATTCATTGGATGGCTCATCCCTGCCGTTCTGCCTACCCATCCCTCTGTGGCAGTCCACTCATTCAGCCACAGTCTCTCCCTCCTTCCTGCCTTTCCTTTCCCCCATTTACTGAGCACCCGTCACGTGTGCTCAGAGGCTCCCACATTCCTCCACTCACAGCAGGCCCAGAGCTCACCAGGGAGATGGGCGTGGGCAGTGGGGACAGACGAGATGCCCCTGAGAACTCACCTGAGTGAGGCCCTTCCTGCTTGTGCCAGCTCTGCCCAGCCCACCTGCAGCACAAAGCTGGCCTCAGAGCTGTAAGGATGACCACAGGAGATGCGGTGCCTCGCTGTCCCAGGGAGGCAGCTCCCGAGGTGGAGGCAGCATTCAAGGAGAGTGGCCTGGAGGAGGCAGGCTTTGGTTCCCAAACTGAGGCAACCAGGGGTTTCCAAGGTAGAGCAGAGAGAGAACACTGCCCTGGGGGCTGCAGGCCCGGGTTCTTCCTCTACCTAGGCCCCTACTCACTGGCGACACTCTGGAGGGAGTGAGGTGCTGAGAAGACTCCTAGAAGCTGAGCGTCAGAGCCGAAGGATCTTACCCCAAACCATTTACAGACGAGGGAGTGGGGAGCTGAGTGGGAGCCAAACAGAAAACTCGGTGTGAGCTGCTTGGCAGACGCCTGCTCCTTCGTGCAGAGGGAGCACCTGCTTGCTCAGGTCTGTGCCAGGAGGCTGCTCAGGCCAGTGACAGTGCGGACCTCCTGATCCCACCTGAGCTGTGCCAGGACCCAGGAGGGCGAGATGGCCTGCCTTCATCCAGTCCTTTGCTTTATCCCCAGGATGACCTCCCATGGCCGCCCCCACCAGGATGGTCCACTCTGTTCCAGGAACGGGAGCAGTTCCAAGAGCTTCCTGGGCATGGCAGTTCCAGGGCAAGGTGTGGATTGGACACCTGAGTGGCCTCAGTTCCTTCCGGCTGGGTAGGAAACACAGGGCTGTCCCCATCCTGCCTCATCCAGAGGACCCAGGTGTGTAGACCTGGAGAGACCCCAAGCCCACCTCTCTGTTCAGGTAAGAGCACTTGGGCCTACCTCGCAGGGGAAGGGCAGGTTCATAGTTGCCCTCGACAGATGGGAAAGAGACTAGGGCCAGTTGCCTCTTCCCTACCCTTTTCTCAGGGGTTCAAGGGCATCAGGACCCCCAGCCTGGCACCTCAATGACCACCAAGTACTCATTAACCACCCCCCTTTCAGTTCTTGGCCTTAGTAGCAGAGTCTAGGTTCAAGGGCTCTCAGGACCTGGGGACCAACCATGATGGGGCTTGGGATTTCAAGGACTGTCAGGATGACCGAATTAGAGCAAAGCAAATGCCCCAGTCTCACATACTCTTAGCTTTGCCTGTGGACGAATCATGGCCTGGGTGAGAAAGGGGTGGGACTCAGAGGGAGAGCTCAGAACTGAAGGATCGGGTATGGTAGGAGGGAGTGACTGGGAGGGCTCCCAGAGAAGGCATGTCGGTTGCTGGGCATTGCGAGGCCCAGGGGACTTGAATACATAAAAAGAATAAAGAGAGGTGCTGACCCTGTAGCCCAGTGGGTAAGGGAGCCAGAACCCACATGGCCATCTATGGGTTCAAGACCTAGCCTAGCGGCTTGAGCATGCATACCCAAAATGCCAAAAGGAGGGCGTGATGGAGCAGACGGGATCATGGCATGACCTTGCCCCATGGTGGGTGCAATCTCCTCTCCCTCTCTCTGTCTCTCTCTGGTAAGTGCACGCACCTCTGGCAATTTTTTTTTTTTTTGTGGGGGAGAGGTTTTTGCTATAGGGTGCGTGTGCTCACCAGAAAGACAGAGAGACAGAGAGACAGACAGTGAGAAATCACCCCCTAGGGGGATGGCCACGCCACAATCCCTTCTCCTCCGTTCTCCTCTCGAGATCTTGGGCACGCATGCATACGCGCCTGGCGTGAGTTTTAAGCCACCGGGTCCGGGACAGGTTCATAGTCGAACCACGGTCGACTATGTGGGAATCCAGCAACATAGCCATTACTCCAACTGCTGGTCCCCCTCTGGTAATTTTTTTTTTTTTTTATAAAAAGGAAGAAAAAGAAGAAAAGGGAAAAAGAAGAGAAAGAAAGAGAATAAATACTGCAGCCAGAGCTCAAGGTGAGCTGGGCAGAGGGCCCAGCAAGAGGCCTGAGGAGAGCCGGCCCATCAGAGCCCTGTTGCCAAGCCTGCCGGGGCCCTTGTCCAGCCTCATCCTTCCTTGCCAGGCTTTCTAACCCTAGGTCTGTGCACATGCTGTGTCCTCTGCCTGGAGTGCCCCCACACACATCCTGCCTTTTCCAGATAGTCTCTGCCCACCACCCCAGGGCTCTGGTCTGTAAACAGAACCGTCACTGGGACCCACAGAGCTGTCGTGAGGACTAGATGAATCACACGCGAGGTGCCCTGGCTCACAGATGCTTGCGAGCCGAATGGGCCTATCTGGGCCTAACCCACCTGCCCTGCTTTGGGGCCCCCAGCCCACTGCAGTCTCCACTCATTTCTGGGCCCTCAGCATTGGGTGTCACTTCTTCAATGCCTACTCCATGCCAGATGCTTTATCTACGGTTCTGAGCCACCGGCGTGCGGAGGGTGGATTGTGCTCTCCATTTTACAGCGGGAGAGACTAAGACTTGGGAAGCATGTTTCCCCACGTGTCCCAGTCAGGCGGGATTTCCACACGGTCTTTCTGACGCCGAGGCTCCCTTTTCCATCATCCTCATCAAGACTGTGTTTAGATGCTCGGAAACCTTGAGGATACTCCCAGCCCCCCCCCCCCCCCCGTTCCCTCATGCCCTCCAGATCTAGAGGGGTTGGGGGGGGGCTGTCACTCAGAGGCAGGAGCTGGAAGCCTGAGGCACCCCCTGCCAGCAAGCCAAGGCAGGGAACCA